GCCTACGATTCGCCTCACTAGTTGAAGGTAGACTGTCAAGCAAAAATGCAGTTTTTTGCTGGACATTGACGAGATACAGAAACCAATGACGTGCTTCATCGTCAAGAACTGGCATAAATATCTAGCAACGAAACACTCACTATATGTTATAATTTAATGATATAGGGACATTGACTAGACTAACCTTCTGGCATGCACCGACATTCGGCATAAAGACCACGCCATCATTCATCAACTTGTTACGAATTTGTCTGGTCTTCATGTTAGCGCGTACCATTTTCTGCACCATGTTTTAGTTGAGATGAATTGACATGGTACAATATAAATAACTAGGTTATGACAAATAATTTGACACTACGGCTCTTACCGAAAACATATTTAGCAAATACCATACATTTGGCTCTTTCACATCATGTTTTTCAGACATTGTTAGTGCCCTTGCACACATATCCACTACCTACCATCCAACAATCAAACACAAAATCATCGTAAATCGTAACATAAATAGTGCACAATTCATATGAAAGTCGTAGTAGTATAGTACTTACTGATGAGCAAACCCAGCTATTCTCGCTAATGACCGAACTCAAATAACGTCGTTGCACGTTTTCAGAAAAAAAGTCCACAACGGTCAAACTGCAAAAATCAAAATAACAATAATGTCAATTGTGATTTGCAACGTACAGGTCGACCTGTTCATAGTCACGGTCGACCTTATTGGAAAAGCGGTCGACCTCATGACCTAAACGGTCGACCACACGTACTAAAAAACGTCTTACTTGTCCCAATTCTTGTCCCCGGCCTTCTCTTTAGTAACAACATAATACAAGTCTTCAACTGGATTTTGAAGATTTTTGGTGAATCCTTCTAGACCCTCCACTTTCATGACCTACAAATCATAGTTAAAATTAAAGTAACATATGAACACAAACACACATTATAGATGAATATGTAACGTAAACTTACCCCGTGCTTTTCGAAAGGAATCTTAGATTCATCTTCATCGCTATCAGCACTAAATAATCCTTTTCTTACAAATTGATCCTTCTGTGGAGTGGTGTAGGAGTCATTTTCATATCGCGGTCTCTTGTACTTAAGAGAGGAACCCTTGCTGCCATTCGTTGTTTCACTCTGTCAAACATATAAACAAAACAAATTAGCACTAATGATGGTAATACTAATATCTTCAATCACATATGAATATACTTGGATACCTTTAAAATGTGCTCTTTCAATAAATCGTCTATGCTCTGGTAGCAATTTTCAGAGTCATCATGGTCTTCTTCCTCTTTACCAAAGTCAAATTTCTTTCCTTTACCATTTCTTTCGCTATTCTCCATTCGTTCTGCACTTATATCTTTGATAGCACCTTCTACCCTCTCAAACCCGTCATGCATCATCCTAGTCATATCTGTCTGTCGAACTGACAATTGCTCCACTCTATCACGCATGGACTTCTGAAAGTCATTGACTTGTGTTTGAGACACCACCAGCTTCTCTTGTGTGGCTTTCAACAATTTCATGATTTCACCCAAATCTTGATGCAGTTTCTCATCATGCGTCATTGTCTTAACAATTTCAAGAAAAATTTAAATCATAATTCAACTACAAATTTCTACAATTGACCAAAAAACAAAGACGTGGTCGATCTGACAAAGTATTAGGTCGACCTGGAAGACAAATAGTGACTACCACAACCATTAAGGTCGACCTCTGTTATTCCTAGGTCGACCTATCCAGCAGGAAAATAACAATTAACAACAAAAAGTAAGTTTAAAATTAAACCAGAAAAAGGATAGGTCGACCAGATATCTGGCGCGGTCGACCTTTTCAAGCACAACATAGTCATACAATCAAAGCCAAAGTCGACATTCAGGTTGAATAACCAAAAAAACAGGAACGGTCGACCTTGAAACAATTCAGGTCGACCAATTGGGTTACCTCGCAAGTACAGAAATCCAAGTGTTGTGGCCTAAATTCAAATACGCAGAATTGTCTCGTCAGGTCGACCTGGTTGACGTCACGGTCGACCGAATGGAATTCTGCACCCAACAATATATCAAATTAGCCGGTAGAAATCACGCATTAGAAAAGAAGACGACGAATGGTACATTAGGTCGACCTCACCTTAGACCTGGTCGACCACTTCCAACGCGTACAACAGCAACCGCAAACAATCTTCTTCACAAATGCTCTTAATCGGAAGAAACCTAATTCAGACTTGGAGGCGTTGAAGGGGACTTATATTCGTATTTATAGAGATTTAGGACGTCAATGGGTCGACCCAATTCGTTTCCTTGTCCAATTGTGGAACCTTTCTGGTGTTGGAATCCATATCCAATACGGATACGGTATGAATGCGGTCGACCTCTTCATAATGCGGTCGACCTGAGAGGTGCACAAGGGTCGGCCTATGAGATATTTGGGTCGACCTTTCATTCTGTTAGACCACCAAAGCGGTCGACCGTATTATGTAAGAGGTCGACCGCGTCTCGGAACCCCACATACATGAATTAGTCCGTTCGGTCGACCGCATGTTAGATTAGGTCGACCGAAAAGTCCATATCACGGTGACATGCATGTCACCGTAGCAAAATCCAAAGATTAATACTGGCTATATCATATAAGATCCTACTATCCCCACGTCCGTTTTGTTCAGTACAATAATTGCTTTGTAGTCTGTGCCAATTAATTTTTATATATTATATACCTTATTTTTGGCTTCAAATTAAAACAACATTTGGTTGGTATTTCTTTGTACACAGTTGGACGTGGATCGTGCTTTCTTTTTTTCCTTTTATGAGCAAACTTTAAATCGTGGGGACTTGGTTGTGTGCTTATAACTAGGGGTGGCTTATAACTAGGGTGGGTGTGGTTACTCGCTCCACATTTTGCGGGTAACCACACCCACAAATGTAGAATTATGCTATCCATAACCCGTCTCGCAGTGGTAGTGGATAACCACAACCCGCTGTGGGTTGGTGCTGGATACCCACAAAATTTTCACATTAAATATAATAATATGGTAATTAAATAGTGATGATGTATTCTTCTCACACAAAAACACAAACATACATAATAGAAAGTTAATAAAGTGTTAAATAAATTATAAATCTCGAATACAATAGGTTTGTTAGTGTAAATTTAGAAGAGATGGATTTGGAAAGAGATTTGAGGATAACGCAGAGGCAGAGTGACCTGTTACCAGACAAACATCGTTGCATGTCACGGCTCCTCCGATGGCAATGACAGAAAAACACAAAAGTGGCTCGATAAGTGGAGGCGCCCGCTTTTAATGATTTGCTTATTCTCCATTCTCTATTATAGTCTTCTATTGTTGGTAGTTGGTTGCATGTTGTGTTGTTCGTGAATTCGCGGAGAAATGGAGATTATTTTGGGTATCTGACTAACATTTTTCGATTATTCTTCTCTTTTAACAAATCGACTAATTTATCTGACTATATCTATGAACTTGGTTTTGTTATACAATAAACATATACCACACGGACAATGCTTATTTGATAAAAATATCTCACATGAACATTGCACATTGTCTTGGTTTTGTTTAATAGAATAAGTGTGTATTTGATTGGTAGCTACTTTAATTCTTAGTCTTCCAAGTTTCACAAACTAATATAACTAATGTGGTTAATGTGGGTTACAAAGTATTTGAAGAAATAAATATAATTAATGTGGTTAATGTGGGTTTTGTGGGTAAACCACTGTGGATAGTGGTTAACCACTAACCACAAAAATCAATATTTTGCTACCCACATCCAACTCACTATCCACAAATTGTGGGTATGGGTATCCACAAAGTGTGCGGTTTGGTGCGATTTACGGGTTACCCGCAACCCGCAAACCACACTTCCACCCCTACTTATAACATCAACCGAGAACATATGATGGGAGCTTTTCTTTGATGTGATCCACTACTATTAGCTCAAAGTGGACAACCCTAACGTTTGCTTGAATTTTCTTAATTGTTTGTCATTTGGGCAAAGTTGAAAACACCTTGCCACCAAGAATCAAATCGGTCTATTCAGTATCGAGTCCATAATTTTCCACTTTCGCGAGTGAATCAATTATAGCATACTGGATAATTTTCTTTTTTCAATCAATCGAAAACTATATTGGGTAAACGACATTCTGGTTTAATGCAGTTGTTCTTTTTATATTTGTTAGTTAGGCAGAAGAAATGCTAATTTTTCCGGTCGAATAGGTTGAGTTTGTTGCAAATAGTAGTGCTATCCAAGTGATTGACGTGGCAATTTAAGAGTTGGATAGAAATAAAAATGTACGCAACTCATTTGACTATTGTCATTAAATGAAAAAAAAAAAAACGTTGTTTATATTGCATCACTTTTAATGATCAATTCTTTATTTTTATATGACAAACGTAAAAAAAACGAATAATTCAATTATTTTATTTTATATGTCTTTTTGTAACTATAACCCAAAATATTAGGACAAAGATATATAATCATCGTTACGTGCATATAATTCTTCGAAAAGACTGAAGAAATTATTCCTATTACGTTAGATCAAACAAATTATATGATTGCCGTGTTATCTATTTATGGGAATTAATGCAACGAAGATGGAATGGAATTGCCGGGTTGACACTTAGACACTCATGTTTGAAAAGTAACTACAATCCAATTAATTCTTAAAATGATTAGTTAGTGAAGCTATCTTCTCTCTCAGCTAATAATTGATTAGTGACAGTAATCAAATTCCAAATGAAAGCAGCCAAAAGTTACTCTCAATATCTTACACCTCTCTACTTCATTATTGCAGGCCCAACAGCATCCCCACCACACCCACCTGCCCTATCATTTTCGTCTTTCACAATCCAACTCGTATTAATTTCATTATATCTATATTAATACAATTTACTTTTAATAGTATATATGATAGGTCAAACGATTTAAAAAAACTAAATAAATATAAGAAAAAATAAATATAAATTTATTTTTATTTTTTTATGTGGCTTTCGTTTTGAATTTAAGCAAAATGTAAGCTTGCATAATTGCAAGTGAACACTACATTGGTGCAATCGTCGTTACAATTGCATATTCAATAATGAATACCATGTATAATTTGCAATTGACCAAGTATTATTCGACCTAGATACTAGGGCTGGCTATTTGGTCCGGGCTATTTGGGTTTACCCGAAACCGGAGAGTATAATCCGCACAGAGACCAGACCGGACCCGGATAGCAAACAATCCAATCTAATCTTCGGGCTTAGATTTGAGGTAAAAAACCATTTGGGACCAGATCGGAAACCAGGTAAAGACCGAATAAGAGAGCCCAACACCAAAAATTTAACCAACTCATCACCCTTTGAGTCCTCAGTCCACTCAAATCCCCACAAGCTCAATCTAAAATCAAGACCAAATTGGGACCGGACCAGGTCAAGACCGAACTGTATCCAATTCAATCTTTGGTCCTTATATTGGGACCAGATCAATTCATGCCAATTTAACCGGATCGGACCGTATAGCCACTTCTACTGTATACGCAGTAAAGTCTAAATAAAACAAAAGGGACAAAAAGATTTAGTTTGTTAAAATTTTTTTTTTTGGTTAACGATTCTGTTGGTGCAAAACGCAACAGCTTTTGCCTTTGGATCTGATAAATCCGTTATTTAAATTTTACTGTTAATCATTAATTAATTAATCTCTTAATTCGCTGCTTATTATTCTCTCTCTCTCCCCCCTGCTGTGTGTTTTCTTTAACACCGAGGAGGGCCAAGATAGCCTGCAACAAGCAACAACAAAAAAGCGCTCTCTTTCTCTCTCCCTTCACTTGGTTCATCTCTGCGATTTCTCCATCCCTCCACTCTCTCCAACTAACTACCTCTCCAAAACTGGTAACTTTCTTCCTTTCCCTGAAAAACCCTAGTTCCCATTTCCTCCCATTCTCCCAGTCATTCTGATTCTGTCGTCGTGTCTCTTTCATTCACAAATGCCGGAAGGCTGAAGCTCTTTTTTCATCCTGTTTCTGGTTTTGGGTGATCGTAGTTTTGTTCGTTCGTTGTGCCCATCCGGATTTTCTGCTTAGTGATCGGTATTTGATCCGATCTTGCTTGGGTTTCTTCTTCTTTACCTCTCTCGAGATCTATACTGAAGCTAAGAATGGAAAGTTTGATTGCATTTCTTTGGCAGAATTTGATTGGATAGTTATTATGGGTGGATAGAAAAAGCGGGGTAGAGGTTTTTTTGGATTGCTTCATTTAATTGCCTTTCTTTCTGTTTGATTTCAGGGTTTTCTTTTGGGGTTGAAAAACGGCCCAAAGAAAAACCAAAAATGGCCGTTAGTCACTGCCACTTATGCGGAGAATTTGGTTGTTTTTATTCTGTTTTTGACCTTTCTTCTGCTCCGCAGGTTGATCTGAATTTGGTTAAGTCGCGGGGCGCGTTGATGGACATCTGTTGTTGATTCTGGTTCCAATTCTTCATATTGATCAAGGAGCTTGTTTTGGCATTTAGTGTCGGGAATTGGATTTAAATCCAATTCAATTTTCTCTCAGTTGTTGTGGAAGCTTACAGTGGAAATCTGAAGATCCTAAATCGAGTGGCTTGCTGCCTCTCTGGTAACTGTGGACTCTGCTTCTCCCTTTCATGCTTGCTGGGATAGTTCGTGCTCATGGTGACATATACACAAGCTTGTATGTAATAATTCGTGACGGTTTTCCCTGCTCTTGGAGTTTCGGGTCATGATTGGATCCTTGGTTGATTGCGGAGGTTTGATTCGTTCAACAATTCGGACATGAGAAGCCCTTGGCTCAATAAACTATCTGTTACTTTAGGCCCTAGACCACCGGCTAGTTGGTTGTTGTTGTGCCTTGTATGTGTCCTTGCAGTGATCGCCATCTTAGGATCGACGTCTTCCATTGCATTTGATTCCGTAACAATTACCCCAGTTCCGAACATTTATTCGAACTACAGAAGGTTGAAGGAGCAGGCGGCAGTTGATTATTTGGAGCTTAGATCGTTCTCAGTTTCTGCAACTAGGCAGCAAGTGCTTGGTCTTTGTGGCAAAGAAAGAGAACATTTTGTGCCTTGTTACAATGTCACTTCAAATACATTGGCTGGGTTTAAGGATGGTGAAGAGTTCGATAGGCATTGCGAAATGTTTAGGCCGAGAGAGCGTTGTTTGGTTCGGCCTCCAAAAGATTACAAGATTCCACTAAGATGGCCGGCTGGGAGGGATGTTATATGGAGCGGAAATGTGAGGCTAAGCAGGGACCAGTTTCTTTCTTCCGGAAGCATGACAAAGAGGTACCACCTGCTTTGTTCAGTCACTCAAGTAGTGAACTTTTAATGCAGAATTTTAGTATTTTTGCTGGATATAATTGTAATGCCCAAATGTTGTAGGTTGATGCTGCTGGAAGAGAATCAAATTGCTTTTCACTCTGAGGATGGATTGATCTTTGATGGAGTGAAAGACTACTCACGCCAGGTTGCCGAAATGATAGGTTTAGGAAGTGATGCTGAGTTTCATCAAGCTGGTGTAAGCATTTCGTCTTACACATTTCATGTCGAATGACTAGCAGAATACTCTTTAGGCATCCTATAATTACCTTTGAAAGAAACGAAAAAGCTACTCTCTTCTTATATGGTCTTTTGCTTCTGATGTCTGACCACAGGTACGAACTGTACTGGACATTGGTTGTGGATTTGGAAGCTTAGGAGCTCATCTAGTGTCGCGCAAGGTAATGCCAATCTGCATTGCTGCTTATGAGGCCACTGGCAGCCAAGTTCAACTAGCACTTGAGAGAGGCCTACCAGCCATGATTGGAAATTTTATCTCACGACAACTTCCATATCCTTCACTGTCGTTTGACATGGTTCACTGTACTCAGTGTAGTATTATCTGGGACGATAAAGGTACATCTGAGTTTTTAACTACCCTCTCTTTAAATTTTCAGTTCCTCGTTTTAGAAGTTAGAACTCTTTTTTCCCCCCATTTTCTCTGCATCTTTTTCTATTTTCTAATTGGCTAGGGGTGATGATGGATTCCTAAAATGTGGCAATTTGACCCAATTGCCTTAAAAAATGCATAATTTCCATGTCAATTCAAAATGATGCAAAACGAGGCAATTCAAATTGCTTCGTCCCGTTGCATCCTCATTTTGTGTTTCCAAACGAGGCACTGAATTGCTTCATTTTGAAGCAATTGGGCCAAATTGCTTCATTCAATTCCATTGTCCAAACAACCCCTTTAGCTTGTCATGTTTTGAGTCATCTGATATCACGGATGAAAAAGCTGAGTTGTTGGAGTGCTGATACTCTTTTGCGCCAGGATTGGGAATCAGTTTCAAATATGACACTTAGAAGAGGAGTGCTTGATCTTTTCTGATTTCATCATTTACTGCTGAAGACGTTTATTTGTTCCTCGTCTAATTGTTGAGAAATATAAACCACTATATGATAAACATACTTGATTATGTAGTTCTGGTATGAAGAAATATCATGAAGTACATTTATTTGACAGGGTTTTGTGGGAGCATTTTCTAACCAGTGTATGTAGGAGGGATCCAAGTGATTTTCTGACTTTATACGCATAATAGAGATAGTCATTTTTTCATTGTTATCTGACAACGACTTCCTAAAAACAGATGGTATGTTCCTTATTGAAATGGACCGGATTCTCAAGCCAGGGGGTTACTTTGTTTTAACATCTCCGGCAAGTAAACCATCTGGAAGTTCATCTAGAACAAAGAAAAGAAGCATGGTGGCGCCAATTGAAGAATTCACTGAAAAGATATGTTGGAGTCTCATGGCTCAGCAGGACGAGACTTTCATCTGGCAGAAAACTGCTGATGTCAATTGCTATAAATCTCGGTGAGGATGCAGTGATCAAATTCACTTCCTTCAATTTTCTTACTCTGTCAAGTATATTACCTTTTTTTTAGAGAAAATAAAGTATATTACTGTGGAGCCTAGATTGTAAAACCCTTGCTTTCTTTTCTTATGTTTTAATATTAATAATGCAGTAAGTCGGCCTCTCCTCCAATTTGCAATGAAGGGAATGATATTCCTCCATATTACCAGCCGCTGATGTCATGTATTAGCGGAACCACTAGTCAGCGTTGGATTCCAATTCAAAACAGGTCAACCGAGCAGTTAAGCTCATACGAGCTTCAAGTTCATGGTAAGTATTGTTGTCTTTCAGACGATTTCTTTCTTTTAAGCTAAGTTCATGAGCTGAAGTCCTGACTCTAGTCTGAATGTCATCTTGCAGGAGTTCAACAAGATGATTTCTCTGAGGACTCCCAGGTGTGGCGATCGGCTCTTAGAAACTATTGGTCATTGCTAACACCGTTAATTTTCTCCGACCATCCAAAGAGGCCAGGTGATGAAGATCCCTTACCTCCATTCAACATGCTAAGAAATGTTATGGACATGAATGCTCATTATGGTGGCTTAAATGCTGCCTTTCTGGACGAGAAGAAATCGGTTTGGGTGATGAATGTGGTTCCTGTTAGGGCCCGTAATACTCTTCCCCTCATTATCAATCGAGGTTTCGCTGGTGTTCTACATGATTGGTATGTTATCTATTTCTTAGCCTACTATGTCTGATTGAATCTCTTGTAAAAATCACATTTTTTGTTTGGTGTAGGATAACTGGGTTCATTCTTGTTATGTGATATACTGAATTTTTAATGTGAACCATCTTTTCTTTTGCTTGCAGGTGCGAGCCCTTCCCGACTTATCCTCGAACATATGACTTTCTTCATGGATATGCACTGCTCTCACATCTTAGTTCAGAAAGATGTGGTATGATGGACGTACTAGTGGAGATGGATCGAATTCTAAGACCCGAGGTACTTTACTGCAACTATATATATGTGCTATGGACTCAAAATCGAAACCAGATCAAAGTACTAATGGATCTAATATTTGTCTTAGTTCACGCAATAATATGTCAGATCAGTTATCCTTGTTCATCATCATCCCATGGTGGGTTTTGTGTTTGCAGGGATGGGTTGTTCTATCAGATAGTGTGGCTGCCATCGACATGGCTCGAGCACTGGCTGCACAGATACATTGGGAAGCAAGGGTGGTGGATCCTCAGAATGGTAGCGACCAGAGGATACTGGTTTGCCAAAAGCCATTTGTCAAGAAATGATTCTTCAAGCTTTTCAGTATTATTGGAATCCTTCATCCTATTAACTGTACAATCTTTGTTTTTCCCTGGTAAACTTTTACCTCTCATCTCTTTGAAACTCAGCTAGCTCTCTGTTAACTCAACTTATGGCCATGAATTTGGGATTGGCAACACGAACTTCTTACAACACTGTCTTGGGTCTTGAGAGCAGGCAATTAGCACTGGGAAACTAGTGAGAATTGGAAGAGGCTGTAGATTAGCAAGAAGCCTTTATATTGCTGGCTGCAGAGAAAGTGAGCTCCAAAGAGCAAAAGCGAATCAGATTTTTTTGTTTTGTTTCTTTTTACCAATTATTTTGGGTTCAAAGCATTTGTAGCATTTATTCATCGATTTTGTTTTGGTTCCCTCTTTTCTTTTTTTTTGGCTAATTCTTTTGAGTGTCGATGATCTCTTTTTTTTTTTTTAAATTTTCTTTCAAACAATGAGAAATTCAAGGAAGAATTTTTCATATCTTTGATAATGTACTGAGACGGGAACAGCAGTAAAGTGAAGTTAAGGAAAAACTTTATGACAGCCACGATATTCTTCTTTCTCAAGTTCTGTTCTGTTTAATTCTTTACAATGTTCTGGGTGGGCCTGAATTTTATATTTGTCCTAATCATTACTTGATCTTTGAGATTCAAGCTTTTTATGCTTTTTTTTTTTCCTCCATAAATAACCGTAGGAAGAGGTACTAGGGGTGTACGTGGGTCGGGTGGTTTGGGTTTAGTCATTTTAATCACCCGACTCATGCACTATGGTTTGAAAAATATCAAACCCAAACTCACCAAAAAAAATTATGCCCTATGTTTGTTTTTAATTACGTTGAGTCGGGTTGACGATATTTTTCAGTAAAAACTCAACCCAACATAAGATATATAATTATTCTACATCATAAAAATATTTTATAACTAATTAAAATTCAAACGAATGAACCAAGGTGAAAGGTATGAAAATTCACAAATTTTGTTTAAATTTTAATAAAATGTGATTTACTTCAACATATGTCTTGTTTTTTGGGATTTTTTCAATAATAACACCTTTTAAAAAAAATTACAAAAATAGCACCCACCCGAAAAAATTTACACTAATAGCACCCTTTTTTTTGGACCGCACCTCCAATGTGCGTTTTATGTGTAAACCGCACCCTCCAGGTGCGTTTTATGTCGTTTTATGTATAAACCGCACCTTGGAGGTGCGTTTTGCGCCACGTCAGACTGGGAACCGCACCTTCAAGGTGCGGTCTGTGTTTCCCCGGGAGCGGCCTTGGAGACCGCAGGATCCAGCTACGATCCAGCGGCGGACCGCTTGCCACCTCAGCGATCCGCGCCATAGATCGCAGACCGCAGCGGCAGGAAACGGTCAACCCTCGGGGAGCGTAAACCGCGTCGGGAAGCTGCAGTTTTGGCTGGGGCAAAATTACTGGACCGCCCCTGGAGGGTGCGGTCTGATGGGTATAAATACCCCCCTTCCCCTCTCATTTCTTCACACCACAACCCATTCTTCCTTCTTTCTCTAGAATTTATCTCTCTAAACCCTCCCCTCCCAAAAGGCTAGGAAATAGTGGACTGTTGGTTGCGGCTAAGTCCGATCTGCCATCAGAAAACATTTCTTAGGTTTTTTCCTCAAAACCCGCCGAGCCGAATCTCTGTCCGAATTTTGGTTTTTTCCTCAAAACCCACCGAGCCTAGCCGAATCTCTGTCCGAATTTCCCAAAAAAATGAGCGATTGGTGGCAAGGAGAGGGAGCTTATGTTGATGAATTTCTAGCGGTACGTACTCATTATTCTAGTTTAATTTTTGTTGTTGTTATAAGCTTTTTAATTAATCTAGGGCTGGCCATTCGGTTATCGGTTGCCGGTTAACCGGCTGGTTAAACCAATAACCGGCGGTTATCGGTTAACCGATAACCGAAAAACAGAGGGCGCGGGCAGTTGGCGGTAGAAGGGTTGAGGAGTCCGGTTAACCGGCTAACCGACATAAATAACCGCCGGTTAAACCGACTAACCGGCGCATCCTCACCCCTCGTAAAACGCCGCCGTATCTGTGTGTCTGTCTCCTACCCTAACCATTGGCCATCGCGACTTCACTCCACCACAGCAGTCAGCAGCGATTCACTCACCCTCTCCCTCTCAGTCACTCTCCCTGCCGCCGCCCTCACTCTCCCTACCGCCGCGCCTGCCCCTGTCACCGCCGGTCCTCTCCCTCACTCTTTCCCTGCCCCGCGCCGCCGCCTGCCCCTGCCGTCGCCGTCCCTCTCCCTCACTCTCTCCCTGCCGCCGACACCACCATCTCCCTCCCACCTCCCCGATGCCAGTCTCCGCCATCTCCCTCTCGCCTCCCCGACGAGTCGACGACAAGCTGATGTGAGTACAAAATGGAAAATGCAGTACATATGCCCACCACCTGTCTTTCAGATTTTGCGTGTCTGTTGCCTCTGTTGTGCTTTACAATTAAGAAAATTTGGTATACTGTTCCAGAAAGAAGATCATGATTTAAAGTTAATGTCTGACTTTGTAATTTGTTCTTCTTTGATGTGACTCTTTATCCAATTTAATATGATGATCGGGGATGGTAATCTATGAACTGGAAGTCCTTTAAGAAAGTTCTGCCCCATCAATCATTCTTGTCCTGACCCTTTGACTCACTCCTACTGTCACTCTAGAAATTGGCCAAGTGTAACCACTTCCTAAAGCGTAGTATAGCGGGTTTGGATTTTAATGTCAACCCGGGTCCTAGATTTGATGACTACTCGGTGAATTCTTGTTATCTAGCAGTGAAACTTTAGTGCAAGTCCAAATTAACAAACAAACAAACAAAGCAAGTTAAACGGTTGTTTTCAAGTCGAGAGAGGTCACCCGGATATGGTTCCCCCTAGACTGCAGTTAAGTCGGATTGCAATTTACCAAGCTCAATTACCATGAAAGTTATACTGTGGGAGATTCTTAAACAGTTTGAAGCCTCGACTAAAGGTCTCCAGACCCTCTCAATCTGAGTCTCCAGCGGGCGACTAACCTCCACCGGAGTAAACAGATTGAGGCCCTAACGAACCAAACCTCCACTACCGAATTGAATTCGGTACAAAATAGCGAATTGGCCCCTCGACTAAAGTCACCAATTCGCCACCTTCAATTAAGGGTGCTCTATCAACCTAGGCAGATATTCTCATTCTAGGTTAAAGCAGAAACAACAGGAATTTGATCAGGATTCAAGTCATTCAATCATTCAAGCCTCAATCGAATATAATCAACTCATGAAATCTGTATTTGGGTTCATACAATCAGACCTAACATACAAATCTAGGGTTCTCCATACCCAGATGAATAGGAAAACTACTCCATGGAGAGAGAAGCAAAAGCAGATTCAGACGCGGAAATCATACTGTGAAGGATGAGTTTCTGCTCCTCGTTGTCAATCGGCACTTCTCCAAGCTCAAGCCGGGCTCCAATGGTGATGAAGATCAAGCTTATGGCACTTGGGAACTCTGGTTTGTCGCTTTCTCTCTCTAGGAATCGCTCTGTCTCTCAAAAACTCCAAACTCTCGATTTTTGGCCTTCTTTTCCCTTAAAAAGCTGCCTATCGCGATACCCGGTCAAAATACCCGGTCGGGTATTTTGGGTCTCGACCGGGTATAATTGAAACGCACGTTTAATGTCAGGGGAAAATCCCCGGTCTGTCCCAAGAATCCCCGACCGGGGGTTTTCGCCTCCTTCCCGGGCCCCCTTCTGTTTCTCACGGGTGCCCAGAACAATAAATACCCGGTCGGGTATTTGAGCCTATGACCGGGTATTCTCCTCCTGCAGCACACTTCGATCCAACTTCGCTCCTTTCGACCCAAAACTCGTTTCTTCGCCTCGATTCCAACGTCGGGCCCTGAAATATGAAATAAACACACAACCTCGCTTGAAATCGGCTTAAAACACGAGAGTCAACCTCTCAAACGGCTCAAGAATAGGGGTTAAAACATGTGTAATTATTGGTCTATCAAACTCCCCCACACTTAACCGTTTGCTTGTGCCCAAGCAAACCTAACTCAAACCAATGCAACTCTCCAAACCTCTATAGCAACCAACAACCCCGATCATAGGTAGAGGATTTCCTAGATCATTTAGCACCTTACGAGGTCAACCGACGCACAAGTCATCTCATAGCTTCTTCGGCGAGAGCGCTAGTCTCGAGTCGGCATCATGGCAAATAGTGAACAGAGGACAAATGAATCGTGGACGAACGGACTCTCAAAAACAAAAGATCATGGACTCACCTTTTTAATGTGCTCTATTTTCTTCTTGAAGATGGTTGGAACGAACCCCTTTTCTTTCTTTTTTGCTTGTTTTTCTGTTTTTTTTTTCTTTTTCTTTTCTTTCAAGGGTCCCAACCTGCTTTTCAGAAAATGGGGGCTCCCACCTAGCAGAGGTTTTGCGGGAGCCCGGCTATTACCGGCCATGCCAGGAGTGGATGTCTCGAGCCTCGTGCGGGGGAAAGACATGTAAGGGGGCTGGAGGTAGTAGGTGGAAATTGGGAACGGATTCCCGTCTCCCCTTACACACTTTCGCCCTATTCGCACGGGAGACGTTATTTTAAAGCACATTTTCGAGCACCTTTTACTTCAAAAACATGATACATGAGTCCATGACAGGTAGAGAGTCCACATCACCACACAATTCAAGAGTCCTAAGATCACTAATTTACACAATCAACCAACACAATATGAAGAAGAAAGGAGACTTCTTAAATGCATCAACATCCTCCATAGTGCTACACTACCTCCCTAGGTTGCACATTACTATAAAGACTGTCAATTCAAAGCATACTGAGCAGGCAATTGCAAGGAACACGTACTTGGAGCTCTCAAATTTAAAAATTTGGACAGTGGACTAGGCTCCAAGCACACAAACAGATCTAACGCAGTCAAAAAATAAACATCCCCCACACTTAAGATCGACATTGCCCTCAATGGAGAAGAGGGAAGGGAAAGGGGAACGATGTTACCGGTGTGCACGCACTGCAGGAGACTGGAAGCGGACCAATCGGAGTGAAGCGGACTGGAGAGAGGACCAGTCAAGAACAAGCACAGCTAAAGGAAACCAAAGAGCTCAAACACAATACGTTAGGTCCAATGGTCAGCCCAATAGTACAACATCCAAAATAAAAAGAGAGAAACTAAACCGACACAAGACAGTTTGCACACTGACAAAAACAAAAACAGTCAAAACATGCCACTAGGAGCCTCCTAGACCGGAGAAGTCGATCTGGTTCATGAGGTCGTCGTCTCCATCCTCCGGTGGTGGTGGTGGTGGTGGTGAATGATCCCACCGGGTGGTCCAGTGGTGCTCCTCTGGGGGGTGACAAGTCTGGAGCAGGTGCTCCGAGTACTCCATCAATCTGCGGCCTCGATCTCGCTCCCGCTCGATGAGAGCACCCGTGACTCCCATATGGGTCTCTAAGCGGCCGAGGCGCTCGTCAACAACCGTCAGCCTGGACTGGTACTCGGCCTGGTGGGCCGAATACTGCTGGTAGAACTG